TAAAATTGCTTGTGTGTAATGGATTAATAATAATAAATCATATAAAATAACAAGATTCCCTAAGATAAGGGAATCTTGCACGATGCAGAAGGGCAGTGAGTGCCGTCACCTGTCTGGGCAGCCCCCACGCAGAGACTGCTGGCTCACTGAGACGGAATGCTCTCGTTGAAAACATGAGTCTCGCCCTTCTCCACTTCACTGAAGGCAGCCTCACTCTCTCGTTTCTCCTCTCTCAGCGAGCCTCGAAGAGGGAAACAGTGGAGTCAGGGAATAAGCAACCGGGTTGACTGATCTCATGCCGGCACTGCGTCCTGCGTGCTCTCTCTCCACGTTGCACTCGGATCCGCCACAGAAGGGCAGTGAGCTGCGCACTTACTGAGACAAAATGCTCATTCAGAGAGTAAGTCTCGCTCTTCTTCCCTTGCGGACCGCCTTTCACTGAAGGCAGCCCCGCTCTCCCGTTTCTCTTCTCTCAGCAAGCCTCGGAGAGAGAAACAGCGAAGCCTGGGAACTATGCAACCGGGTCTGAGAGATCTCACGCCGACACAGAGCCTGCGTACTCGCTCTCCCCGCTGCGCTTCGATCCGTGTCTTGCACGTAAGGATCAGTGTCCCTCCTTACATCGGGCGGCTCTATCCTCCTAAGTAGATCGGAGCAGATGCTGCCACTGGCAGTTTCAAATTTTGTGTGTCACTATGAGTGCGCTCACAGACACGGGCTGCTGTTACCACGAAAGCAGTCTGCCCGTTCGTTCGCGGAAGGCGGCCCCGCCTCCCTGCTCTCATGTTTCTCTCCTCCCAGTTACCTCGGAGGAAGCAACGGCGAGCTCGCGGGTTGAGCGATCAGGCAGAGCAATTTCATGCTGACACACATCAGGCGTGCTTAATCTGCCAGTGTGTGTTACACGTGAGAATCAGTGCTCCTTGTTCACGAGCAGCTTAATCCTCCTGGGCAGATCAAAGCAAAATGCTGGCAGCTTCGCATTTGTGTGTGCGTCGCTGAGCCCCGCCTCCCCCGCCCTTGTGTTTCCCTCCTCCCAATTACTCGGAGGTAGAAATGACGAACTCGCGGGTATGAACGATCAGGTTTGAGTGATTTAATGCCGGCAAAGCCCCCGCATGCATCACTCTCCACGCAGCTCTTTGATCTGCCAGTGTGTTTACACTAGGGGATCGGCGCTCCGAGCGGCTCAATCCTCTTGGGCGGTTAATTGGAGCAGAACGCTGTCACCAATGATTCAATATCGCTGACAGCTTTGTATTTGAACGCGCCTCTCGCCTGGGCCACGCCCACGCTGAGGCTGCACTGCTGAGACAGACCGCTTTTACAATGAGAGTTCAAGTCTCGCTCTGCTTTACTCTCGGCTCGACTTCTTCAATGAAGACAGCCCCGCCCCTCCCCTCTTCCGCTACGAGCGGATTTGAGAGAATGCGCGCAGCATTTTTGATCTGCCAGAGTGTTTACACATAAAGATCATCAAAACTCCTCTTATAACGAGTGGTTTGATCTTTTTAGGTGGATTAAAAGAGAATGCTGTTACTAATGATTATCACTGACAGCTTCAAATTGAACGTGTCTGGGCCACGCCCACGCGGAGGCTGTGCGCACAGGGGACAAGTCTAGCGAAGCATTTTTTGAAAGCATTTTCAGGGAAAGCAAATTTCCTCTTCTGAGTGTGGGGTCCCCATACAGCGACCATCCTCGATCTCAGAAACCTGAATCACGCCCTCACGGAAAGGTCGTTCAGGATGACTGTGCTGAAACAGATCCTTGCGCGAATTCGCTGAGGAGACTGGTTCTTTTCGCTGGATGCATACTGCCCCCCCGCATTTTTACGAAGTGCATGGACGCAACTCTCTCCCCTCTGAGACAGATGGGAATCCGCATTCTCAATTACCTCGACGACTGGCTCGTTCTGGCCCAGTCAGAGGCAGAATTAATATCACACAGGACCCTCCTCCTCAGCCACCCGGAGTGCCTGGGACTCAGGGTCAGTTTTGCCAAGAGCTCATTGTTCCTCAGCCAGCAAATATCGTTCCTGGGAACAATTTTCGACTCAGCCCAAATGAGAGCTGTAGTCACGCCGGAACGGGCTCTGGCCATACGGAGGCTGGCGACTTTTGTGATATTTGTGAGGCGGCTGGCTGGGCCTCGCCGTCCACATTCACAAGGTTTTATAACCTGGAAATCCCGGCCATGCAGGCCAGGGTCCTTTCCGCTTGAAGTGACATGCACTGCGTAAACAGATCTGGCAGAGAGTCCTTGGCCGTATAATGCTCAAGCTCTCTGGCATTAGTTCACCTGTTAGCTCTCGACCCCTGGGTGTCGAAGTTACAGGAGTACTTTGGAATGATTAACCAGGCCAGGTGGGACCTCAAGAAGCTCAGCCCATCTTAGCCTTGGGTTGTTGTTAACTTCTCTATGGGCATTGGTTGCTTATGGAAGTTTGATACTTTTAGTTGTTCCACTACATTAGTACGGCGTGATTGCGCACGAACCAATGGCCGTGCAGTTTCACTGCGTGAATGAAAAAAGGCTTTTGAATGAAATTGTAATGTACCCATTTTTTCCACTGTTTTCTCTTGGCTAATAAATAATATATTTGTTAAGCATTCCCTCAAGAAGAGAAAACAGTCTCTCCCTGCTCTCCTGTGCTCTTCTCTCCTCTGTCTCTCTCTGGAGTTTGATATTCTCCCTGAGTAGCTCCACCAGCTTCCACTCACCAGCAAAAATCTCTCTATTAACTTGCTTACTTTGTATTTTTTAAGTGTTTCCCCAGCCAGCTCATTTTCTCCAGAATAGTCCCAAAACAAGAGAAAATGAATACACTTATGAAAAATATAAAGACATGTTTGTAATCTTAACATTTGAAAATATGGCACAGCAGGACATGCATACAAAATACTGAAGTGCTAAAGTTTGGTTAAAACATTTGTAGACATGACAGCACTAGCAAAAAAACAAAAAGAAAGACTATTGCCTTATATAGTGGTTGTCTTATTGTTTGTGGGGCTTTGTTTAAAAAAAAAAACTGGCTTTTAACACTTGTTTCGCTAGGTAGCCTATTTGAGTAAATGAAAACACAATACTTACATTTCAATGTGAATTCCCCCACAGAACTGTTATCCTCCATGTTTTTTGAATATAAATTCCATCGTCATATGCGCGCAAGTGATTCTGGGATATGGTAGGGTGCGAAGTGTCCATCAGATCGATCAGATGTACACTTAATTTTCCTCGGAAACGGAGGGTGCATTTGAAGTCGCTTTCGAAATACATCAGCCTTCGTCACGCCGCGGTGATGCAATCGGCCTTGGAATGCGGTCTTCGGAGGGTGCATTCTGAATTGGGACAGCTTACGTCGTGACGCTGTGATGCAATCGCACTTCAAATGCGCACTTCAGAGTCCACGCACTTCAGTTTGGGACACAGCTCGTGACACCTGGAGTTTCACTTGTAATATCACAATTGGCAACTGAGAAATACGTTACACAGAGGAAAATATGTAAACTGTTTTTTTTTCTTTTGTTTTTGCAATCAGCTTTGCTTTATAAAGTCAGTGCCAAAATTGCTAAATGTACCTTTAAAATTATATAACAAACACATTATTACTACTTAAGAAGACATTATTATTATTTTTTACTATTGTAAAATGACTGATACAATAAATTCATCAACATGTTTCTACCCTATTACTCCAGAAACACCTAACTATTGTGGTGCAATCCTGCAGTAATGATTACACCGATCTGTTGCTTAATGATTTATTTCATAGTGGTTTTACTGTCCTATAACAGAATTATGTTAGATGTGTTGTCTAGTTGTTAAGTCTTATGTTGTATGTGTATGCCCTGCTGAATTTTCAGGCACAATACTATAAACTATATGCACCAGCACAACAGTTTACGCAATGTTACACAATGTTATTTATCATGCCACACACATATAAAGGATAAGTCTACTTGTAAATCCAACATATTGTGAGGCTATGAGACTTTTACCTGCTAGTGTAGTTAATATTGAACAAGAACTTTGAACTTCTTGAAGCATTTCTCTTTCTTCATTCTTCAAACTGTTTTTCTGAGGCAGGACAGCTTTCCTTTTACATTTCAGAAAAATTAAAAAAGCAGGAAAAGAAAAATTGACCCTAAGACAGGAGTTGGGGCTCACCAGCGCTGTATCTTTGGTTGCAAGCATCATGATTGGTTCTGGAATTTTTATGTCTCCACAGTTTGTACTGGCTTATGTTGGGAGTTCAGGGGCAAGCTTGATCATCTGGGCAGTATGTGGTATAGTATGCATGTGTACTGCTTTGTCATATGCTGAGATGGGAACCATTATAAAAGAATCAGGTGGTGACTACAGCTATATCCTTCGAATTTATGGACCTTGTCCTGCATTCTTTGTGGCCTTTACAACCATGTTTGTGATGAAGCCATTTGGGATTATAGCTGGTTCCCTGAGCTTTGCTAAGTATGCTTTGGCACCATTTTACCCAGGCTGTACACCTCCCATACTAGTGGTAAAGTGTATTGCTGCAGCATGTGTGTTAGTGATTGCAACTGCCAACGTGCTAAATATACGTTTTACCATTGCTGCTCAGGCAGTCTTTATGGTGGCGAAATTTGTTGGTCTAATGATAATAGTTATTGGAAGAATAATAACACTTCTACAGGGAAATTATGGAAGTCTCTACAATCTAGAAAGTGCCTTTGCATACACAAAGCTTGGCAACAGTACTGTTGGAATGGCACTGCATCAATGCCTGTGGTCATATGCTGGGTGGGTGGTACAACTTAAACAATGTTACTGAGGAGGTGAAAAGGCCAGAGGTGAGATTAAGTCTTCTGCATTGTCATTACTATGTGCAGTGTTGACATGAATAAAGTAGGTTGATGTCATTATATAATTAAAGTGATAAATGTGGATATGTCAAAACTGCAAAATTATATAGTTTATCACTATAATCCTCTTATTAATAAAATGATTTTGTCTTTCAGGTGAACCTGCCAAGGGCACTGATGATAGCTATTCCCATGGTAACGATGCTGTACCTACTAGTCAATGTCAGTTATCTAGTTGTCATGACACCCACAGAGATGATATCATCCAGTGCAGTGGCTGTCACTTGGGGGTAAGGATTTTGAGTGCTGTACAAAAATGTATTTTTAGATAATATAATTGTGTGATTAAGTGTTATGTGCTAAAATGCACAAAATGCTATTTTGTATTGTTATTTTACATTATCTTAATATTGTTGGGACATGGATTTTTGTTCTATGATGTGCAAACTCTTTTATTTTATTTTTGTAAAAGGAATAAAGTATTAGGAGGATGGGGCTGGGTGATGTCTATTGCTGCAGCACTCTCAGCCTTTGGTTCTCTAAATGGATCCTTTTTCAGTGGAGGACGAGTGTGTTATGTAGCAGCAAGGGAGGGACACATGGTAAGAAAATTGCTTTGGAAATAACTGAAAACAATGTGAAAGACAAATCAGTAATTTGAGTCTAATGCAAAATTTGTGTATATAAAGAAGAATATAAAGACATTTTTACCAAGATGTACTTATACAGTGCGTGCATATTTATTATGCAAGTTGATATTCTGATAATATTTTTTTTCCAAGCACATTTGACCAATTCCAAACCTCATCAATTTTAATAACTACTATTAATTTTGTATTTAATCATTTATAAGTGATCTAAAATTGTCCACAAAGGCTGGAAGTGAAAAAGTCCTTATATTAAGGTGTGCATAATTATTAAGCAGGTTTTTTATAGATAATAAGAGCCAAAAAGAGATTAACCTCAGACTGAAAAGTAAAAAAAAAAAAATTAAATGCCCATGAAAAGGATGCAATACTAATGCAATACTAGAATTTGCAAAGTTAAGGCATGAGCATTGGACAGCGAAATGCTCATTGGGTCAGCAGGGTCTGAAAACAATAGGTGGAGTAGAATAAATACATGTTATATATACATATATTTTTTACATGTTTTAGCATCTGAAAAAGCTTTTATCTTTGCACCACGACAAATATACAGATAATTAAATTAACCACTATGATGTATGATAATTAAATGACCATGGTGTTGGTGTGCTTGACTGGCCAGCAAACTCACAAGACCTGTATTGTCTGGGTGAGACAATACCCACAATCAAGCCCGCCGCCTCTGCTCACTCTAGCCCTCCGGCCGTTCCTCACTCTAGCCCCCGGCCTCTGCTAACTCTAGGCCACCGCCGTTCACTCTAGGCCACCGTGTGTGACGCTGTGTTTCGTTGTGAAAGCGAAACTACTTTGTTTGGCCTTCCAAAAATG